GGGGGGGGGGGAGGTATTCTTGTCCGCTTAGGGTAGGGATGCGCCGCTGAGCCCTCTGAACCCTGACCCTGTTCCAGAGTAAAATCGCTGAATATCATACCCTGTTCCAAAGTAAGATCGCTGAAAACCATACCCTATTCCAGAGTAAATATCGTAAAGATATAATTTGTTCCAGATTAGATTTAGTTAAAGCCTGTACATGTGTTGAGCTTTCAATAATTTTTTTATTAAAATATAGTACTGGCGTATAAGTATTCATAACAAGTTAATCTGACTTGCTGAATGATGATTTATTGTATATATAAAACCCTGTTTCGGTATTGTGAAAATATATACCCTGTTCCAGAGAGGGAAGAGCGTGATTTCATATACCCTGTCCCAGAGCGAGCGCGATTTTACATACCCTGTTCCAGGGTAGAATCGCTGAAAAAACCATACCCTGTTTGGCGGCACGTACCCGTGTAGCGAATATAGGGGACTACACCCTCCCCCTCCCTCTCGGGGCTGAAAGGGTCTATTAAGAAAACACTCTCTTTCTTATAATAACAGTCGACGTACCCACTTGTTTGTCGCTACTACTCGACACAGACTTTTCGATTAACACCGACGGACTATTTTCCTAACTGCTTGGCAAGCTATCTTACGATACAAGATCGGGCACTGTGCCGCACATAATTTCTCATAATGCGCAGGTTTCTTTAGCTCATCCCCAAACAGATCTTCTGGAACACCAGAGATTTCCAGCCACTCCAGATCAACATTCTTCACTCCAATATGGTGCAGGGTGATCTCTTCCAAATCATCATTCTCAGCCAGACGACGAATGGACTTGACGAAAGTTAACGTACCTATCTGGTCTCCAGGGTTCACCTTGTTAATGTTGATGTGCATAGGGTATTCGTCATAGACCACATCACCTACGTCATACTCAGCGTTACTGACCATGGCAGCGATAACGAACGGACCAGAGACTAGAATATCGCTTGGGGAATATCGAACGATGTTGTGGTGGTGAGCGTTGGTGATTTTGAAGAGTTTGCACAACATTCTTGTTTCAGAGACCCCAAAACATTTATAATCATTGTGAATGATTAACTCGCCTGTTGATAACGATGGTTGAGCATGCGCAGTTGTAGGAGACAAGAGGGCTGTTGATTGGCTGGTTATGAATTGTCTCCAAGACGTTTCATTGGCTTCGTCGAGAATGACATTGTCAATAGCTTGTTGTCGGTTTTCAATCTTGAGAGGTGGAAACATGGTACGTTTTTGCACAGTAAAAACCTTCTTGTTTTTCTGGTTGACCAAGTTATGTGACGAGAACACCACAGTATATTGATTGCCTCCTTTGGTCGTGAGGATCTTAGCATCATCTATGCGGCACACACTGCTAAGAGTGTCTCCAGGAAAGACAGGTTTCTTCTGCATCGCATCGTAGCACCCAAGATGAACCCTTGCAGATTCGCTGAAGCTTGTCACGGTCAGAGATAAAGCCAGCGTGTTAATCAAGGTGAATGAAAGAGGTGCTGACTTCAAACCTAGCCTCGACGCAAACTCATTGCTTGTGTTGAGACGATTGACCGTCAAAAAAGCACTTTCCCAAAGTGCCTTCCATGATTCGGTGACCGTAATTTCTAATGGAGGACGCAAGGTACGACCTATTTGGACTGCATCTTTTAAACCTCTTTGACGCGTTCTCCAAGGAAGAAGAGCTGGTTTGTCTGATACTAAGGACACGTCTTGGATATACTGGTTCTCTTGACAAATCCTCGATGCTATTAACCTGTGCGGTGGACCTACCATCTGTCGACTCTCTTGTATCGATGGCTGTACAACTGAAATAGTTTCGCTTGATGCCATTACRTCTTCAGCCCATTGACGCTCTTTGGGCGAGCATGAAAAAGCGACATTAGCTAGTATAGCTTGGGAGGGTGTTAATGCTACTGCTCCCGCAAACCCACAAGCCTTCATCTTGCGATAAAATTTGTCTGCGCCAACATGATCGTCCAACTTGTCCCATGCCCCAGCTATCGGCAAGATCTGCGCAGCTCTAGCAGCCAAGACCACTTGGCTAAAAAATGTCTCGCAAGTTGCAGAATTTGCCTCGCAATACGCCTGTGTCTCAAAATCAGCAAACCCAGCGAAAACCCCAACATTCCTGGCAGAACCATTGACAATCTGCTCCGCACTGAAGTAAGCCTCCAATGTTTCCAAGATAGGGACAAATTTTATCGAGCCCGAGGGTAAATCGTTTTTATCTTCCGCGCTTTTCACCAGTTTTTCATATTCTTTTAGACAAAAAGGGCCCTCGATTTTAGGAAGCACAAAGCCGTAAACTGCTGGCGTCGTCAAAACTTCTACTTGTCTGGCTAACTCCTCGTTATTTAGGCCACACAAACGCACGAAGAATCTCTTGCCTTGGAATATTCCATTCTTCAAGCCACTAACGTATTCGTTCAGTTGTTTGGCTTTCATCTCTTGGGCAACGGAATCTTCTAGATCCAATACAATGACATCCGATTTTGATTGACAGACTTTTACGAAGCCTTGCCTAGTCTTAGCCGAGAATAACCACGAACGGGTTGGGAATAAAGCAGGGACTTGTCGGGTTCTCTCCGACTGGGATGTCTTGGTTCGGATAAGCTTCTTAGTCGAGTTTGGTCTTTTGAGGAAAATCCGAGAAAGTCTATTAAGACATAACATCTTCTATTTATTGAGTCTTCCACCTGATAAAATGAATACAGCATTATATTAAATGGGGTTCATGTAATATATCGAAGACATGAAAGATTGTTTCATCAGATTTCCAAATACCCGAGAAGTGAGTTGAAAAACGAGGCAAAGCCGAGTCTTTTTAACCAACTCGGAGGTTTTGGATTGAGGATGAAACACTCTTTCAAGTGCTTAATATAGAGGCTCTATATGGAACTTAAGGTGAATTTGATTAACCATATTAACTCTGGACGGTTGAATATTACTGACGTAAGGAGCATCGCGCGGTCGCGTTGTTGTTGGTATAGTACAAACAGAGTCAAGTACGGAACGGCCGTTAAAGAAGTAACGCTCATAGGCTAATCAAACCGTTTGACCTTTGGAATGAAAACGTCTAGATTACAACAGCGAACGAAGGAACACGGACACAAGATAAGTCAAACAAGTATAACGTTAATTTAATTCAAATAATCGAAAGGAAAAAAAACCTATAGAAATCCAACCACATTCGGTGTCCTAGTGCCCTTGGTTTAAGACTTTGATTTTAATAAAATATATGTTAGTACGTATACAAACTTCAAACTTCAAACCAAGAGCAAAAACTGGTATAAATTCGAAAATGATCCAGCAAACCGAACATTGTCAATTAACACGACGATTGAAAAAATTCAGTTTGGTGATCACGAATCTGTATCAAATTATTCAAGTTCGCTCGTCCAATGGTAAACGATTCTTTAAAAGAGTAAAGTTTTTTTTCCTGTTATACATCTAAGGCAGCCATGTTGTATGATGCAATTATTTTCTGGCTATAGAATCATTATTAAACATAGCCCGACTTACCTGTAATGATGATGTAATTTGTGCCAAGCGAGGCACGAGATTTGCACAAATGGTTATTTTGCCGGCACGGGAGCTTGTTAGTTCGTGCGTAGTTAGCGTCGGGTCCCTTGTGGGTAGGATTAGTATAAGAAGTGTCTAGAATGTGTGAGAGTTCATCTACGGTCAGCCTCGCCGGTTTYTATCGCCTTAGTTTCGAYTTATGCTTATATTAGCYTGCATGTGACATTTATTCGTACAGTTTGCCTTAAAACCCCAAAGGTTGCATCTTAGCATGGTTGGGGGTTCACGTTCCCCTTTTTTCCACACTGTGGTTTTTGGGGTTTTCGTGACCGGCTTTGATGCTTAGGTTTATTTTCYATACTATTAATTGTAATTATTTCTGCTGTTACCTTTAGTGCATTGTGGACTTGATTAATACACTCATACTTACTGTGCGGTTGTAATTTACCTTGCCACGATTATAGTGCGTCGAGGGCCCGGATATGCACAACTTGTTTAGTTTACACATTGTATACTGGTCTTATTGCAATAAAACTCTACCGGCGTGGGCCCAGCTGACCCACCTGCCCATGTATAACAAAAGTGTGTGTGTTGTATTTCTAGCGTAGTGGAGTCAAAATCCGGTTTTTTCTTGATTCCTGCAGATGGAAATATTCAGCGTTAAAGAGTTAGTAAAGTTAGTACTGAAGAGAAGACGAACACCTTAGTACCCCACCTCAGGTTTAGTATCCTCTATACAGTGAAATCCTTTAGTCATGTACTTGCTTGTTGTTTTTCTTTTTTTGATACTGACGGAAAACGCAATAAAAATCATGACCATGAAGAGTTTTACAATTCTGATTAATTCACAAACTAATTAATAATTCATAAAAGAAAAATAATAAAAAACGTGACCATATGAAGGAGGTTTTGTATCTGATATAGATTCWTCTTCATTTGCATAAACTTTAACTTGGATTTTCTCTATCAAACTTGGTTCATTTCGTAAAGAATTCTGTACAATATGAGAACATACATCATGAGTTTTTTAAGCCGATCTTTTTTTTTTCCCCAGCAGATCCTGTTTTATCGGGTCTAAAACCACTTGGCTGCGCCTCGTGTTTTATACCCGATAAAGCACTCCTGCTCGTTCATTTAACAGTACTTAAAACACTCATTAATAATTCATGAGGACAATGCAATAGAAATCATGACCGTAAAAGGTTTATGATTCTGATTATAAACCTACTAATCAGAGTATTATCACTCTATAATCCCGTATAAGCAACCATTGTATTATTTTCAAATGCTCTTTCTTGTCCAAAATAAAGATTAATTTGGATCTTTTCCATTCGCATTCTTTCGAGTGAAAACTATGACTTGTGGAATCAGTCTAGTATAGTTTGGGGTAATATAATTAATCTGCAATAGGACTTCATGTCTGTCCAATTTGGAAATAAAATGTAATATTCAATACCGAACAATGTAGATTCCTTTTAGATTCGGAATATGAAGACAATCTTTGCGTTAGAAATGTGATTTTTCGCGATTGCAATTTAGCCCGCGCTAAATATCTCGCGCGGAAAAGACTGGATCCGACACTGTTACGTCAGCGCATTCAAAAATATACGGATTCCACTGTCCACTCGAAGCCGTATTCATGCCGTATTCAAAACTTTCCACTCTGGGGACCATATTTAAAAAGTTGCGGATTCGTCTACCGTATTTGCCGGATACGTGTGGACGAAAAGCCAATCCGCAACAAAAAAGTTGCGGATTCAAAAAGTATCCGGATACGTGTGGACGGGGCCTTATTCTTAAGAGAATGACATGTTTATTCTCAAGAGAATCACATGTGGCATAAAATCATTCTCGTTCCCACATCCTCCTCGGTTGTCGTTCCTCCCCGTCAGAGGCTCTGGGAAACTCTACAAATTCTCACAATTTGATTGGCTTTTAAGAAGAACAATAGATCTACTTTTTGATTGGATTGTCGAATGTTTTTGTTCACTATTTGTAGATTTCACAAAGCCAAAGGCTTGTCTGTGCTTGTCTTGGCTTGTCTTGGACAGTTTTCGGGTTGTAGGGTTTCCCAGAGCCTCTGAAGGGGAGGAACGACAACCGAGGAGGATCTGGGAAAACGAGAATGGTATAAAATGGGAGAGCATTGCGCCCAAGTGGATTTGATCCATTCTCATCTATTTACACTCTTTCTAACATACATATAGTAATACTGACTAGCTTATGGCCTACGCGTGTTCAGCCTAGCCTGAATATAGCAGGAATATAGTTGACGGTTTTTTTTGTAGCAACCCTTGCACATAACGTTTTTTGTGTTTGCTCGATATCCGACATGAGAGGTTGCGCGATATTTTTTTGTAGGTGAAGTACCTACTCCATATTCTTCAGTGGGTGATTCAGTACGCAACCCCCATCAATTTTCATATAATTATATCTAGTATTTTGTTCATTTTATATTCATTATTTAATATAGGTTTGGTTGAAAAACCCTTTGTATGGAAAACCTAATAAAGTATGTATGTATGTATCAAATTAACTAAAGGTGCGTCCCTAACTGAAACACCAAGGTTTGCATTTGTAATTAGAAAAGCTTGCCTGCTTTACCAATATAACACACAAAGAAACGATCTAATTGAATGAGCTAACATTATTGAATTATTATCCAAATTCATGACATCCAACTGATATACACGTCTTTCAAAAAACATCGTAGGTCGGAAATCTAAAATCTGAGATCGAGTATCACGCTGCAAAATGTAATATTCAATACCAGACAACGTAGTTTCCATTTAGATTCGGAAAATGAAGATGATATTTTGAGTTTAAAAAAAAAAAAAAAAAAAAAAGCACAAAAATTCCGTATAGTCTAAGATTGACATAATTCACTACATTCCAGTTCTACATTTTCTATTTCCATGGAAACAGCAGAGTATTCCCTAAGATAAACTGACGAAAATACAGCTTTAGTATGAAAATGATCGATAATGAATAAAATTGGACTTCTTTTTGAGCAAGACGTCTCGTTCATAACAATTTAGATAGTTTAGATAAAAGTTTCTTGGGTTACCAAATGGATGCATGAAAATCTCATTTACAGCCAGTGTTTYTTGTGTGTTTATTTTCATTACATAATAGCAAGTATTGCAATTTTAATTTGACACTGTTTAGTTTGGTAATTTAAAATATTTTAGCTAATTGATGATATTAACATGAGAGTGAGTTTTTTCACAAGGGGGATGGGGTGGGAGCTGATGGACAAATGATTTCGTAAAGAATTTTTTTTTGAAGTGAATACAACTTTCTTGATGTTTCCTCATTTCAAATACTTTAGGCTTAAAGAAGAACTTTGATATATAATCATCGATTAAATATCTATTTTTCTCTATTGCTAAAATAGTTATATCTTCGTATGTGAAGATATGATATCTTCAAATGAATGTGAAAATTGGTAGACGAATTCTTAGGAAATGCATTAAAGAGTAAGAATTTACTAAAATTTCGATTTATCGATAATTGAATATTAAACAGAATATTATATGGCCGCTTAGAGATACGGATTTTATCTTCTCGTGTTGACGGAATGTCTCACTCGTTCGCTGGGCTCACTCGTAATATCACTTCAACTCTCGAAGATAAACTGTGCGTGACCATGTAATATATTATAATATATATATTATCGGTATTCCCGTCGTCTCAAGCATTTCTCGAGAAGCTGAATAGGTCTATTGCTTATGAAACACTGTGGTCTAAAATGGGACAACATTGAGCCAAGTTGAATGGTCTATATCTCATGAGATACTCAGAAGGAATAGTCATGTGAAATGGGACAACACTTTTCAAAGCTGAATGGGTCTATTGTTTATACGACACTCACTGAGTAAAGGAGAATGGTCAAATAGTCTTATACATTGAACCATGTTGAATACTTGTATCAGCTGTTTCTAATCTATAAACTTAGGGAAGAGGGGTGAGTGTTAGAGTGTCGCCCCCCCCCCCCCCCACACACATACAGATCGCTTAAGTATACATATTTGTATTTCCAAAATTATACCTGTTTTGCAGATAGCTCTCACTAGGGCGCTAATATTACAAATTAAAAACAAAAATGCAGATAAGAAAGCTGCAATGATTTGTTTAACTCTCCTTAAACAAATAGAACCTGTCTCAGTCGGGTTTCCTAGCCTCAAGCTATAATTGTTCATTACCTCCTCAATCACCCGGGTGAACGTCTATTCCTTCTGCCGGCTCTTCCGAGTTTCTTCGCCCAGCAACTAGAAAACATTTCTTGAATTATAATTTCTATTCTACATTCTAAAGGTAAAGACTTCATTATTGATATAATAATATGAATTTTAAGAGATTTTTCGAATCAATCGCTGCTTTAAAAAGAGTTTTATACAATTATACAGTAAAAGTGTTCATGACATTAATGGGACAAATTTAAAGTATAGAACTTGCACTCAATCCCTCTTCTTTTCTTTGCTCTTTCGTTCCTTCCTTCGTTCCTTCATTCCTTTGCTCTTTCGTTCCTTCCTTCGTGTTTTCATTCCTGCGGCTCTATCGTTCGTTCCTTCTTTCCTTCTTTCCTTCTTTCCTTCTTTCCTTCTTTCCTTCTTGATTATAGCATCCCAAGGAAACCCAAGATTTCAGTATTTTTCTCCGGGAGACCTAATACAATTTTTTTTTTTTGCATTACAGAATAAAAATCATGAATAGCTCGGTTTTCATTGTCTTGCTGTCCATGATGATTATAGCATCCCAAGGAAATCCACTTCCACCAGAACTTTGTTATCCAGACGAGACACCCGATGCCCTAACCAGCCCACAGGGTGAATGTATCTATCGTGGCAAAGAGTTCCTTCCTGGGCAAGTCATTAAAGATCATGGCTATCACTACAAGATTAAGTGTACATCATCTGGGCAAGTTGTGCACTGCCACAAAGCAATCAACTAGACTGAAAGACAAAGAAGTGGAGTGGGGAACGGAGATCTAGAAACTATAACTAGCCCTAATAAATGATAAGACATAATCTCTTGCGTAGGTCTACATTTTTGACACTCAAAATAAGTCGTTGTTTGTTCTCTTATCATATAAAATCTTTCCAAAATACATCTTTCTTCCATTTCCGACAATCTTTGAACGTAGTAGTTTGATATGAAAATGATAAACACAACTGATCTCCTTCCCACCTCACTTTCCCATAGTCATTTTTTCTCAGTGGTTGAGTCGTTATGAGATATATAAATACATAATAAAGATTTACTGAAAACAAGTCTTATTTGTTCTTCTCCATATTTCATTACTCGCGCATGGAATGAATGGAGTAGTGTGTAATCCTACAACTCGAGTCGTAGCGTGTAAATCAAGCCTACATCATCTCGCCTACGACAGACACGAGCGTGTTGTATACGATAGTTGTAGGCGAAAATCGTACCGTCTAAACCGGCCTTAAGACCTCTATTAACTATGTTAAAACATAGCATTACAGTTGCCACGCAGATCAAAAATGGAATAAGTATGTTAGGTTTCGTGCGTGTCAGAAATGGTTTCCCGGTTCTTAGGTTACATCTTATTCGTGTAGGAATCCAATTTATTATTCTGATTATTCAAGTATTTCCAAGATCTTTTAATAACAGTGCGCGGTTGTTTTTACTATCTTGGTAATATCTTATTAAGTAAATAACTATCAATTATTTTCCACTTTCAACAGTTCATGAGATGAAATAATCTTAAAATCGGTTCAAATTATTAATATTAATTTAATTGAAATTTTGGCTTGCGGACTGAACCAAGTTATATAAACAAACCTATATCGCGCTAGCTTGAGAGTATGAGAAACAATAATTTTATTTATCGAAAAAAGGGAGTTTATTATCTAATTTGTCACGTTCAGTGATAACCGTAAAAGCCTAAAGTATGCTAAAGATTGCCCTTAAACTGAAAAAAAATATTGATTTTTGGATCTAAGGAATTTTGAAAGAGATATATTGAAGCATCTTCTTCTTCCTAATCGGCAAGAAATGAAGAGAATACTGACGTACACATGAAAGACACAAGTGAACCTAAAGAAAGGAAAAAGAAATGAAACAAAACAAACTTGTTTATCGTGTCCTCAAACACTTCAAGCAAGCAAAAAATAGAGAAAGATGGAAGAAAACCATTTAGTTTAGCTTGGAGAATTATTAGGTTAAGTCCTAAGGACCGATTTAGGTCAGTTTAGTTTAAATCATTTATTCATGCCGTTNTTTTTTTTTTTTGCATTACAGAATAAAAATCATGAATAGCTCGGTTTTCATTGTCTTGCTGTCCATGATGATTATAGCATCCCAAGGAAATCCACTTCCACCAGAACTTTGTTATCCAGACGAGACACCCGATGCCCTAACCAGCCCACAGGGTGAATGTATCTATCGTGGCAAAGAGTTCCTTCCTGGGCAAGTCATTAAAGATCATGGCTATCACTACAAGATTAAGTGTACATCATCTGGGCAAGTTGTGCACTGCCACAAAGCAATCAACTAGACTGAAAGACAAAGAAGTGGAGTGGGGAACGGAGATCTAGAAACTATAACTAGCCCTAATAAATGATAAGACATAATCTCTTGCGTAGGTCTACATTTTTGACACTCAAAATAAGTCGTTGTTTGTTCTCTTATCATATAAAATCTTTCCAAAATACATCTTTCTTCCATTTCCGACAATCTTTGAACGTAGTAGTTTGATATGAAAATGATAAACACAACTGATCTCCTTCCCACCTCACTTTCCCATAGTCATTTTTTCTCAGTGGTTGAGTCGTTATGAGATATATAAATACATAATAAAGATTTACTGAAAACAAGTCTTATTTGTTCTTCTCCATATTTCATTACTCGCGCATGGAATGAATGGAGTAGTGTGTAATCCTACAACTCGAGTCGTAGCGTGTAAATCAAGCCTACATCATCTCGCCTACGACAGACACGAGCGTGTTGTATACGATAGTTGTAGGCGAAAATCGTACCGTCTAAACCGGCCTTAAGACCTCTATTAACTATGTTAAAACATAGCATTACAGTTGCCACGCAGATCAAAAATGGAATAAGTATGTTAGGTTTCGTGCGTGTCAGAAATGGTTTCCCGGTTCTTAGGTTACATCTTATTCGTGTAGGAATCCAATTTATTATTCTGATTATTCAAGTATTTCCAAGATCTTTTAATAACAGTGCGCGGTTGTTTTTACTATCTTGGTAATATCTTATTAAGTAAATAACTATCAATTATTTTCCACTTTCAACAGTTCATGAGATGAAATAATCTTAAAATCGGTTCAAATTATTAATATTAATTTAATTGAAATTTTGGCTTGCGGACTGAACCAAGTTATATAAACAAACCTATATCGCGCTAGCTTGAGAGTATGAGAAACAATAATTTTATTTATCGAAAAAAGGGAGTTTATTATCTAATTTGTCACGTTCAGTGATAACCGTAAAAGCCTAAAGTATGCTAAAGATTGCCCTTAAACTGAAAAAAAATATTGATTTTTGGATCTAAGGAATTTTGAAAGAGATATATTGAAGCATCTTCTTCTTCCTAATCGGCAAGAAATGAAGAGAATACTGACGTACACATGAAAGACACAAGTGAACCTAAAGAAAGGAAAAAGAAATGAAACAAAACAAACTTGTTTATCGTGTCCTCAAACACTTCAAGCAAGCAAAAAATAGAGAAAGATGGAAGAAAACCATTTAGTTTAGCTTGGAGAATTATTAGGTTAAGTCCTAAGGACCGATTTAGGTCAGTTTAGTTTAAATCATTTATTCATGCCGTTAAGTTGATAGGAGCTATTGTAATTGGGGAAAACCTGTAGTAGATTCCTAGCCTCTCTTATTTGATCTCTTATTATTCAGCGATGCATTTTGTAGTCTCTTTTCTTTAACCCACTAGCTATTGAAAACCTAAGAGTTGGCTATAAGTAAAATAAAATAAAATGAAATAAGATTTTTTTGTACTGACATACTTGAAACCGAGAAAGTCAGTCTTGAATGAAATTTATACATTTAACAAATACTCGGAAATATTGATCAAGGGCTAAATAAAAAATCTGTACGAAGTATTTTATCACCACGCGGATTGCAATATTACTCGGCGTGAAATAGAACTCGATAAAACTTGGAAAACAAGAATAAACGAGATTTTCTGGTCACTTAGATATTGATTTTAAACCGTAGCTATAGGCGGTGAGTTTAGATAGGCAAGCTACAGTTGCTACATTATAGCTGTATTCCAATTTTATCAGAAAGACCGGATCCAATCCAATCAAAAACAATGACTATACTAATTTGTCATATATAGATTATTAGTTGCTCCAAAAATAAACAAATAACGATTGAATTGAATGATGAATTATTTAATTTGAGACCTCTTTTTACTCTTTGCGAGGCGACTATTATAATCACTTTCAAAGCCGTTTAATTGCAGGTTATTAAGTGTGTCCGTCCGTGTGGTCGATAAGTTTCGCTAGTTATCGACCCCTAGCATTGGTTTCCATTGATTTAAGATTAAATAAAGGTGTCTATCTATCTATCTGGCTTTGATTTCCTAGAGGAATTGTTCTGGGGGACAAAAAAACAGGCCGTCATTTCTTATGCAAAAAAACATCTATTGTTTTGTCTCCCACTGATTTAGTAATTGTTTCTGGGAGTAGGGAAAAAAAAGTCGAAAACCACCGTCATCATAGATGATAAAAGGACTTCAGTCCTTTTATCATCCATGCCGTCGTACAGCTAACTCTAGAACTCTTCTTTAACAAACGTGTACTTGAAACTTTGAAACTTGGCACAAACAGGTAAAGATTATTTGTAACGAGTAACTTTGTTAGGAGAAGCCTGTGCAAACGGCGTTGCTCGATAAGTTTTGGCTAATTGCTTCTAGAGCTCAGCTTTGTGAAACTTTAAAGCTAGTCCACAACTCTTATATGAAAAAGTCGGCAGAGCTAATAATTTCTGCTCATGCAGGACCTTTTATCGTTGTGCTCTGAACGCATAAACACTTCTAGTGTTGTGTTGTAATCAGTGCATGTTCTGCTGCTGTGGATGTGACTTTTTGTTGGGTTTTGTGTTGTGTTGTGTTGCTTTTTAGTGTTGCTTTTGTGCTGTGTTATCTTGTTCTTTTTTGGTTTGTTGTCTTTTTGTGTTCTTTCACACTGTCTTGTGCAGTACTGTGCTGCTGAGTTGTTTTGTACTGCTATTGTCGCGCGTGTCGTGTTCTGTTGTGATTTATTGTGTTTTCTTGGGGTGCGTTGCCTTGCTGTCTTGTGCTATTGTGTGCTGTGTTAGATGTTGTGTTAGATGTTGTATGCTGGTTTGTGTACTCTTGTGTTGTGCTGCTGTTAAGTTGTCTTGCGTTGCGTTGTTTTCACGTATATGTTATATTATGTTAAAGATCATTTGGTGTTGTTGGAGTCCGCCATTAGAAAACATAACTTCTGACTCAACTATCTGCACGGTTTCGTTTTCCAGCCCAACCATGAATCGCTTCATTCTACTCCTGGTTGCTTTGCTATTCGTCTCCACACAAGGAAAGCCACTCTCACCAGTCTACCCTCCTCCACCTCCGCCTCCAACATCCGAGCCTCCAATGATACCTGCAACTCCATCGGGTTGTTATTACGAGGGCAAGTGGTACGCTCCTGGCTCAACAATATTCGAGAAGGGATCTGGCTGGTATTATGAAGCTAAAGGATGTTCTGAAGGCGGTCATATTTGGCATATGATGTCTTAGAGTTTCTGGACTAAATCGATATAGTAAATATGATGTCCTGAACTCTGTTCCTCTCTCCAGTCATAGTAATTATATGATAAAGAGAAATTGTTAAGTTATGTCTTAAAGATAGAGAGCCTTCCTTAAATAATTAAAAATTGCATAGAATAATATCTTATAAAACACCGCTTTTCTTTAAGGTTTTGCATGGAATTATTAAAATCAAAAGTCAAATGCCTCGTCGGTGTTTTACAATACATGGAGACCGTTTTATCAGGCCCAAAAGT